ACACACACACACACGCACTCACACTTCCAGCATTGTCTTTTCAGTGCCCTTGAGACATTTAGTTTGACTTCTTTCTGCCCTACCAAAAGCCCTGGAGCAAGAAGCATAGAAAGGCTTGGCTACCATTGTGAAGTGAAAGCAGGGGGAAATACTAAGAGAAAAAATATATCAATTATAATTTCAATCAAGTATCATCCCATACATAAATATGTTGCCTGTATTGGTCATGTGTATCAAACCCATGCCTTACTAAATTTAATCATCAAGCCAACCCTACGAACTAGGTAACATTTCTCTTCATTTTCAAATATGGAAGGAGACTTGAAGACATTACATTACTGGTGCCTGGACATACACCTCATTAAGTGGCAAAAACCCATATACAATAGACTTCTGAGTCATTAACAACTATATCACACTCTAGTACCTGGTCGGTTGGTAAGCTACAGCTATGACAGAGCCTCAGTGAAAGGTTTGCCAAGTTCCCTCAACTCTGCAGAGGTCGGCAGACAGTAGTGGCCCCTTAGCATTTATCAAGTATTGACTTTCTGCCAGTCATTGTGTCAGTCAGTTTGTAGACTCTGTCTTGCTTACTTTCTCCAGTGTTAATATTATCCCTATTTTACAGTGGAAGAAATGGAGGCTGAATCACTTGCTCAGTTATTTAAGGGTGGGGCCAGGACTCAAACCCTAAACTTGGAAACCTCATTGTCCATAATCTACTCCACTTCCCTGGACCTCACTGAAGACCTATCACAGGGCCCAAAGGAAGAGTCATCCTCCATCATGGGAGATGAGTGGAATAGCCACACCCCATTCTGTCATGGGGCACAAGCTGGAAATTAATGAATCTTTTTTATTAATAATAGGTAAATAAAATGAGTTGGGCGTGCACAAGATATATGAGGATTAAGTTAGATCCGAACCCAAAGAAAATACTTACAGAACCTTTATTCAGAGCTATTTTCCTTTCTTTGCTGCAATTCTCCATTACATCTCAGTTTCGTGAAGTAATTTGGGGTTTATTAACGTGAACAGCTTAAAGTTATATAATTAATTGCATTCAGCTTCGGTTACAATTTTACTAATTGATCCAAGCCTGCCAGCCTAGCACCTGGCAGCAGTCAAGAACACAACCGTGATGGCAGGCAGGTGGTTGCAATAATTAGGTTATTACATTTTTCCCCCTTCAAGTACCAGGTGGTCTAAATCCCCTGCGTCAGGCAGGGTGCATTTGGCCCACGGGTACTGCTTCTGATTCTGGAGTTCTTTTGAAGAAACTAGGAGCTGTGGCAGGGCGCATTAGTAGATGAGACCAGGGTCAGTTAAGCACAAGCACCAAAACAGCTTTGCTGGGGCAGAACTGGGGAAGAGGATCCTGAGAAGAGGTCTGGAGGAAGGGAGAGACCCAACCCTTCTATCCAGAGCCCCTGGGAAGCAGGGAAGAAGCAAAGAAGAAGCAATGAAGACGCAAAGGTAGGCATGTGAGCTGAATTTACAGGCACTGGTACTTAGAGGTCGTGAGCGTCCGATTTGAAATGAGGCGATATTTTGTTTGTTTGCTTGCTAGCGCTGTTGTTGGGGCTGTTTTCTCCTGGATTTGCTTTGTGTTAAATGTGAGACTTTGGGCAAATTACATGACTTTATCAGGCTTCAGTTTTCTCACTTGCAAAATGGAAGTGGGTAATAGGGCTATGGTTCTCACTAGGTGAGAAGCTGAGTACATGCTGCTCAGCACGGTATCTGCTGTACAGTAAGTGGATCCATAATGTTAACCTTTTTTTACCTGTTTGTATTGTCTCCAAAAGAGGAAACAGTTCAGTGACCAACATTTTGAGCTAGGATGATTGATGATGAATTTAAACTTTGAAGTGCTAAACATTATTATTATCTTCACCTTTAAAATAACCGCCACAATTTGTTGAGTATAAATGATGTGCCAGGGAAAACATTAAGTCTTATGTTAGCTTTATTTCATATTACCCTAAACTAGGTAGATGTGAACGTCCCCATTTTATAGATGAAAAACTGAGGCACAGAGTTTATATTTAACTGATAAATGACAGAGATTTAGAATTCAGGTATCTTGAGTCCATCACCATTAACTACTGTGCTTTTTTGACTTCATAAACCCTGGGGGGAAATGTCCTCTTTTTTTTTTTCAGTATTAAACTTTTATGTTGAGGTGGCAGGTAATGCTAGCTTAACATAGTGTTTTGATTCAAATTGACTTCAGAAGTAATCAGTATGGTTTTGAAAACATGGGTTCAGAGCACATTCAGAAAAGATCTGGGAAGATTATTATTTATATTTTTTTTTATTTAGTAGCTTTTCTGTGTTCTTGTCTGCTGTCTTTGTGCTTGAAAACATGTTCTTAAACAGTCCGTCGACATCCATGCTTAAGTCGATATTCAGTGGCGAGTAGGAAACTTTGATGGGTCTGTGGTCTTAAATCAGAAAGTCATTGCCACAGACATTAAAAATAATTGCAAAAAAGGTGATCACTGCTCTATCAAGAACATCTGACAAATGTTTTCTTTACTGGAAATGGAGTTCTCCCAACTGCTGTAGAGAGGAGGGAAAAAAAACCTTGCTCGGAAAGCACACAAACAGGAAAAAATATATTTTGTTTGTTTTTAAGTAGTTTGGAATCCTCTTGGAGCCATCTTTCAATCAATAGAAATGACTAAAATATCCTATGGTCTCATCTCCCAGGTTTTATGTTTCCCATTTATTTAACCAAGATAATAAAAACTCAAATGTGGACTCGTCAGTCATTTCCAAAGAGGGCTGTGGCATCTCTAGTTTATCTCCAAATAGCTCTGGCTGCAAATTTCATTTTAGAACTGTCCTTATTATAATCACTTGCTAGGTGGGTAGCTAGTCATCTCCTTTGGTTTCCTTATTAACAAAAATAAGGTTCCTCGGCTTAAAAGCTTTGGGTTGTGATCATGAAAAATTGTATCTTGTGTTTTGGCTCACGGGGAGCCCTCGTGAGATCTGGGCAGCTTTCACTTTTTGAGTCTTTTCACTCTCAGATGCATCCTCTCAGTCTGAGATTTAACAAGTTCTAGAGATCAGTACCTTCAGTAAGAGTCAGCTGAAATTAAAATCTGTGTTGAGGTTTCACCCAGCCCCCTTACAAAACCTGCCCTGAAGAGCAGCCCAGATATCCTGGCCCCAGTCAAATGGTTTTGCTGGTCCTTTATTCTGATAGCTGAGATTGACAGGAAATAGGCTTCAGTTTTGAGCACATCTTTTACACGGGCATTCGCCCCGCCATAGTTGCTCTGCAGTACTGCCAGTTCAGAAGCGCCTAGCCCACTCGAGTGCGTGGTCCCAGAAGCTGGCTTCCCAGCACTCCCTGGGAGTCCCTACTTCTTCATACGTCAGCAGCATTGACTGTGTTGTGGAATGGCTTCTATTCCAAGTGCTGATTTCAAATTCGGCTTGCAACGTGTAAAATGTATAAACTGCTCATACAGGTGATGTAAATATCCCTTTATTGAATCTTGGTGACCTGGTTACCAGACATGTTATGTCCCCTATTTATGCCAGGTCACAGATGGGTATGAGGACTCATCCATCAAAAAGTCCTACCCAGACGAATTTTCAGAGTTAGTAAGTGTTGGCAGTCTTAAGTGAGCAGGCCGTGGGACCCAGGCCAAAGTTCACAATAACTTGCACGTGGTAAGAGGTAAATGTACGCATGCGCTAGTAGCATGAGTAAGCATTATGAACAATACGCATGTGTGGGCATAATAACAGGAGAAGTGTATATGCCTGAGGGCGCGCACCACCCCGTTTATACTGCAATATAGTGCTGTTTTGCTCCATATCGGCTCCTGGCACCTTTTTCCAGTTGGGCAGCTCACCTCCTTGAATCCCTCTTCAGCCTCCTGCAGCTGACAGTAAGTTTACTCTTTCTTCCATTAAATGTAAGATGGCAGTTACTGACTTGCTCAGAGGGCCATGCAGTATGAAAAATACACTCTTAAATCCTGAAATCACTGATATGAGATGACCTAAATTTGAGAGGAGCTCAGGAATTAGCCACTAAATGAAATTATTTTTCTTTTTTCTCCCATTCACACTTTCCTTTTTCTTTTACAAAGTAAGTGTCTTTGATTTCATGTAATTTAAATAAATGTTTGCTTTAACTTCACATATGTGTTTTAAATCAGGAGAGGGCATTTTGCATGTGTAGAGGTAAGGAGAGAATCCTATAGTTTGATAAGGGAATATCCTCATGTTTGAAGTTAGCCAAGCCGGATGCTGACTAAAGGAAAGAGTCCCAAACACTGAGAGAGGGCCTGGCTTTTGTTCAATCACTCACTCATTTAGTAAGCAATTAGAGTGCCTCTCAAACTGTAAGCTTTGTTTAATTTGCTGGGGAGAGAGATGAGAAGGATACAAACTCTGTTCTCAGAGAGCTCACAGTCTGGTCTGAAGGAGGAGAAAGTTGGCAGATAGCCAGGAAGCCAGGTGACTAGAAGTAATCTGGGGAAGCCCTGGAGAGAGCAGTGCTCCTGGGGGCAGGAGCAGGAGAGAAGCCACTTGAGACCCATGGTTTTCAGTCCCCTGGAAGAGGAGTCAGCCAACCACAGCTGTGCAGACCAAATCTGGCCCACTCGTTTTTGTCAGTAAAGATTTATTGGGACACAGTCACGCTCATTTGTGGAAGCATTATCTACAAGCAGCTGTTTTTACACTGCTACGGCAGAACGGAAGAGTTGAAACAGGTTCTATGGCCCGCAGAGCAGAAATTCTTTACTTTTTGACCTTTTCCAGAAAATTTTGCCTGAAATCACTCGTCTGAAAGTGATAGATGTCTGACATCACTTTTGATGGAGACAATAGCAGAAAAGAGCTGTTAACTTCAGGTTCCTAACTAACTTCAGCAATAAGGGCTCCTCACCTTTTCTCCACATGTGTTTCACAAAGCACAGGACGACTCATTCACATCAGGAGTATCATTTGTCCCACCTGAGTCAGGAGAAGGTAAGTTGATTTGCCCCTCCCCACTAGAGCTCAATAGTGTGGACTCTTTCAGCATTCTAACCATCAAATGACCTCAATTAAGTATTTTCTAGTCATTCTCTGGAAGTGCCGTTTACTCTGTGTGTACCAGTCTGACAGAGTGAAGTTCTGAAAACGCCCCAATAGGATATTTTGAACCCAGGCAAGAATCAAAAAAGGAAATAAACTCTTGCCTCAATGATGATGTTATCTGAAAAACGTTATGTGTTTTATTGTGAGCTCTGCGTCCAGACTCAGAATAAGGAACGACAAAATTTGTAGATAAATTGGTTTGTGAAATATTTATGTGCACTTTAGTGGCACAGACAGGAGGTAATCTGTTTTGTATTGAATCAGCTTGGGACCGAAAAAAGGAACACAACGTTAATGAGATTTTTTAAAGCCACTTTTAAATTCATGTTGGCAAAAGACAAATAGTCAAGACTTTTAATTTCTATAAACTTAATGGCTAGAGAACAAGTAAAGATTTATTAACTTAAATAAAAGTAGCTTTTCTTTCAAGGGCATAGCAATTTACTTTTCTTTCTGTGTAATCTTCTGAAGGACTGTTCTTGTCTATGTATTGATCAGTCTTTTCCAGTGTGTTTAGTTAGATTTTTAACAAAGTACTGTTGATTTTTGAAACAAAAAGAAAAACAGGATGACTGCACCTTGATGCAGTGGGTGAGCCTTTGATCTGGGAGGCAGCCAACAAGCGTCTTCATACCACTTCTGCTATGGTCTTGCTGTAGAACCTTGATTAGACTACACTTCCATGTGGGAGTCACTTTATTAAATAAAAAAGGAAAAATGTGAACAGAATTAATTGCAAGTAATATGAAATAATCGCCCCACCACTTCCATTGCTTTCCCCACAGCAGGCATCACAGGTCCATGCCTATACCTTCCTTCTCCGCAAAGCCAACCCCCAAACTTTTCTGGAGTGTTCTAAGTCATCAGTATCAAGGGATTGGAGCTGCTATATAAATTGAAACCACTTGTCAATGAACAATAGATGATCTCTGGTTTCTTTGGTGGTGGGTAGTATCATGCTAATTTTTTTTCTTCATGTATATTCTGTAGTTCCACCTTCTAATAAACCCACTTTTTCAAGACTGCATATGTTATGTAAGATGTGGGTAGAACCCAGAGGAATGAATACTTTGGTTATTTGGGGGAGAAGAAAATTACAGTGAAAGTTTTAACTTTGCCTTGTCCTTGTAAACAATTCCTGGGAGATGTGGGAGATATAAAAATTATAATTGTTAAAATACATTTACCATTGGTCACTGTTGAAGCATGATCCCTGCCTGTAGCTCTGATTAAATACTATATAGTCTGTTTGAAACTCGGTACATGATATATTAAATAGGAAACCTTGCCTAATGTTCAAAAGATTGTGAGGGTAAGAAATTGACCCCCACCCCAGTATATTATATATAGATATTTTTCTTCTCTGTTCCCAGCTTTCTGTATTGGGTAGGGGTCATAGAGGAATATCTTAATATCACATAATGGAAAACTACAAGCAGATGTTGACCTATCGGAAGATGCCCCTTGAGTCTCCTGAATTCACTAACTAATATGACCCAGAGGTGAAAGACACAGCTTCCATGTTTAAGAAATTAACAGAATGTATCGTTTCAGTACAAAAGCTTGAACTGAGCTTTAACGTTGGCACTATATGCTTCTCTTTGCTGGTACATGCTTTTCTGTATTGGAGCACTTGGAAGATTGCCGGGAGAAATTTGTGAGTAATGAATATAAAATCCTACCAGGGTGCTGGGCGGTAGTGAGTGCTCGCTAAATGATTGCTACTGTTTTGTTGTTGATGTTGTCACTCCAGCTTTTGTGTCTTCTGAGTATCTCTTCTGCAACAAATACTTGACTAGTATTTAAATCCAACTCATTTAAGATTAAACAGCTACCTTGGGACCCTGGATCTGCTGCTTCCCCTGGTTGACTTTGACATCCCGTTCTGGTCAAGCTCTATGATCTTGAAAAAGTTACTTAACTCAGTTTCTCAGATGTGAAATGGAAGATGATAGTAGTACCTATTCTTAGGGTCATTGGGAAAATTAAGATAGCACAGGTTAAGTGTCTCTGCATAAAGTAAATGCTCATTTAATATTATAGTTATTATTACCCCATTTATTTGGACGAGACATCAAGGTCTGTTAGTAGTATTGCAGTTGTCTCTAGATTGGTGTTCTAACCACACCCACTCCTGCCCTTTCAGTTTCTCTTCTCATGCGTGCCTCAGGATGGCTTTCCTGATCACTCCACAGGAGAGTGACCATCCACCTGCAACTTCTTTTGTGCAAATTCTGTATTTTTTTATCCTTTTAAAATGGTTTTTCCCCCTAATTATTGCAGAAGCCTTGACTAGGCTACAGAATACCAAAAGTTGCTTTAAAATGGAAACATCCCTAAATTCTGTTTTGCCTGCAGTGCCTAGCATAAGGTTACCCTCCTGGGAAATACATTTCTCTCAATTAATAACCTCAGGGCCTTTCTACAAATGCATGGCGATGAAATCAAAACCACAGAGAGAAACAGAGCAGTGGTTCTCAATATCTGCATGCTCAAGAATCTTCTAGTGTGCTTGACAGAGATGCACATTCTCGTCGTTCTTCTTGATTGACTGGGTCTCTGGCGGGATCCTGGTATCTTTGCTCAGCAATCCCTCTAGAACTGCACTGCCCAAATCCGTAGCCAGTAGTTACTCATGGTTTGTCTTCATCTATTGAGGCTCCTCTACAAAGTACCTACAGACAGCAGACATTTATTTCTCATAGTTCTGGAGGACGGAAGTCTGAGGTCAGGGTCGTGACATGATGCAGTACGGGCCCCTTTCTGGGTCGCAGACTTCCCCTTGTGTCCTCACGTAGCAGAAGGGGGCTAGGAGTCTCTCTGGAGCCTCTTCTGTAAGGCATGATCCCACTCACAAGGGCTCCACCCTCTTGACTTGACCACCCTGACCAAAGGCCCCACTTCCTGTTACCATCATCTTTGGGGATTAGGATTCAATACAGGAATTTGAGAAGGACACAAACATTGACCATACCATGGTTATTTAAATTAATATTTCAATTAAGATAAAATGAAGTAAAAAAATTCAATTTCTCTGTCACAGTGGCCACATTTCAAGCATTCAGTAGCCACATGTGGCTAGTAACTACAATATAATCATTTTCATCATAAGTTTATAGGAAGCACTGCCTTATGCTAGTTTGATGAGCAGGGTCTTTTAATCCTATATTAAGAAATGTAAAATATAGGCAGATCCAAGAAAACTCTCCTGCACCTGGTGACTTGAACCTGAAAAACCATAATTACTTACATCTTAATAACACCAGTAAGCAAAGTGCCTGTGACAGCAGATGCAACATTGCAGCCACTGTTTTACTGAGTACATTGTTAGTGCTCTCCCTAGGCTCATCACATAAATTATGTCCTTCAAATCTCTGAGTGTTTATATGAATTGGTATTATTATTCCTATTTCATGGGAGCTTAAGGCTAACAAACTTACTGAAGGTCGTGCAAGTAGTAAACAGTGGGGCACATTGCAGCACCGGTCTGGTTCTAAGGCCAACACTTACTCTCTCTGCTCCGTTAGCTGGTTCTACCCATATATAAGCATTAAACTCTTTCTAGAGTCTGAAGCTGATGCTGCACTCTGAACCTAGATAAACAGTTCACCATTCTAGAAAAGTGTGCTAAAGGCCAAGTGAGCCCTAAGGTCCTGAAGTCAAGGCTTAAACCTTTCCTTTCATTGACCTCCTCCAACCCAACTCAAGTATCTCATCTCTGAGCTCCCATTGTTCTCTCTGTTTACCTCAGTTTTTGCATAATGCCTTCTGGGCTAAAATGACTTGCTGTGTTGGCTGTTCCTGGAGGTAGGACCTGATTTTGAGTATCATAGTGTCGCGGGTACCTGGTATATGGTGGATGCTAAATAAATTTCAGATAGATGAGCTAATTAAGGAGATGGAATTTTTGCTAATAAACTAGAAAATCTGCTGGAAGATTGGGAATGACCGTGTAAACAGTGTTAAAATCCGCCATGGATTGTTTCTAAAAAACACCCTTATGGAAGATGTTAGGCAAAAAGAGACTGAATACAATCACAGCTCAGTTACTTAAGTCTTTAAACTGTTTAATTCTTTTTAAATCTCCTGACATTATCTCTGAGTCTTCCTATTTATGCAAAAATCCCCTTTTTGCTGACCACTGGCAAAATGCTTTAGCTTGGGTGGCTGAATGTTTTTATTTTTTAACGGATATGCTAATCTCAGGAATGATGCATTTCAGCTCCAGCATCATTAAAACTGTATCCCATTGCCATTCTGCAATTCACTGCCGAATCAGCACCTTCATTGCAATCTCTCTTTTCCAGGGTTTCTAATTTGGCCATAAACATTCTCTGAGGGTAGAAACTTATCACAGGAGGTCTTGCTTCTGAATGGTATCTTTTCCAACAGAATCCCAAAGCACATTGTTGAGTGTATGTGAACTACTATGAGACATTCCAGTGGAATTCTGAAAAGGGGCTTTCAGGCATTGTAACTTACGTTATTACCTGAAATGTTGACACTTGATCATGGAGGTGTCAGCAGGCAAGTTTTGAAAAGATCCTTTTCTCCCTCCTTGGGAACTGCCCTGGGTATATTATGTAGAATATTCCCAGTTTCTGTAAACTTAAGAGATTCTCATTTTTGCAGAATCTCTTCTCCCTTTTTTCACTGAATTATCTCTCCCTTTTCCGCTGGCTTTTGCTCTTAGCTTTTTCCTCATGACCTCATCTACCACGTTCATTCTCTTTGCAAAACATATGTATGTGTGTAAGAGGTACTTCCATAGAGAATTAAATTAATATCCAGTTCCTACAGTCAGCTCTCAAGTTTTCACATACAATTACCCACTTGGTGAATTGTCTATGTTTTTCCTACAATTTTACTTTTTCCCATTTATCTGGATTATGACTAAATTGCCCCTTTCCCCCACTCTAACACACATTTAGTGACTGAGAAGTCCTTTGTAGATCCCCTGAGGTGTAGTATTTCAAGAATGTATTTTGTCTTCCGAAGTCCATAAAATACGTTTAAGGTCAGTTGTTTAAATGCTGTGGGTATCTGCTACTACTTGGTAGTGTTTGTCCCCTTCTTTGCGTATTGTCAATAAACAGGGGTGGCTGTTCCTACCTGAACTCTCTGCACAAGTGCTGATAATGGAGAGCAGAGAGGAAGAAGTTCAGGCCACGGTGCAGCCCCTCAAAAGAGAATTTGAAAATAGGTGGATAGCCCAGAGCTCTATGCAGTTTAGTGCATGGAGAACCATCAACTGTTGAAATTTTAGAGTCTTCTACATGATGAGTGACTCCCCAACCTTCCTAACAGTGAAAAATAGAGCTGAGTTTGCAACAATCTCTGTGGCAAAAAGTGGGAACCCCCAAGCCTCCTCTGCCACCAAACCACCTAATCGGCAGCAATGAGCACCCCCACCCCCAGATTCTGTCTTTTCCTATATCTGTCTGAGGTCCTACATTTAGAAAAAGACTTAGGGTAACACTTTGATCTTAAGCTGTCTTACGATGAATAATTGTCTAAGTTGGCCAATCAGCTTCTGAGTATAAAATGCATGAATGTAGCTAAAACAAAAAGCTTAGATAGTATCATTTATTCAAGAACATCTACTCCATGCCAGGTGCGTGGCTCTGCTTCTGCAGATGTCAAAGGTAAAGAAGATGGGCCTCCACCCATAAATTGCCTGTACTCTGTTACTGAAAACAGGTACCTGATCAGCATCCTCTGGTACAATTCAGTATTGAAGTAAAAGCTTCCTTATCCTGCAAATGTTCATTAAGTGTTTCCCATGTGCCGGGCACTATTCTAGACTGTGGGAATACAGTGATGAACTAAACAGACAAGACCCTGCTCTCCTATCTCCCAGGAAAAATAGGCATTGCACAAGTAGTTCAGCTTGGGAGGCAAGTGGCTTTGTTTCGTTCACTTCCATATCCCCGGCACCGAGGACAGTACCTGACACGTTGTATGTACTCTGTAAATATTTGGACATTTGAGTGAAAATGACTAGGAGGAAAACAAGGGCTACAAGTGTGCTTCGAAGGGGGAAATGTTTACCTGGTGAAGGTGATCAGGGAGGACCGCGGAGGGAATAGTTCATTGTGTCTGCAGGGGCTCAAGGTAGAAAAGTGTGGAGAGAGGCGGAAGCAGCCGAGGCAGATGGAGGAGGGAAAAGTCCAAGCAAAGGCAGGTGTCAAAGACCGTAGCTCATTCTAGATACTGAGATTTAGTGTGACCAGAGCTCAGAGAGTAGACAGTGGGGTTGGAACTCGATTGTGAAGGTCTCACTGACCAGGGACAAGGCTTTGCTCTCCTAAGGAGATTGGGGATTCCTAAAGATGTTTAAGCAGAGTGGATCTTTAACCCATCTGCACTCAGGGTTCCATTGTCCCCATCATAGTTGGTCATGGCTTTTTTCTTTCCTGTTGGTACATTTTGTCTCTCACCTGGCAGCCAGTCATACAGGCTAGCATTCCTTTAAGCCTTTTTAAGAGCATTCCCTGACAATGAGCAGAGTTCTACCATGTGCCCCTTATTTGAACACTAACTACACAACTTGCCATCTTAAGATCTCTAGCAAGGAAGAGCCACCTTTCTGGAGCGGCCAGAGGGAGGCATCACATAGTGGGTGAGAGGCCAGCAGCACGATCGGTAATGTAAAGAAAGCTGGCGGAGTCTGGTTTCCCACATTAAAAAAGAACAGTGTGCAGTGTACAGCCAAGCCTGACACGCTCCTCCCTGGTGGAGCTCGTAATGGGAGAAAGCATCCCTCCCCGGGTTGGTGGGAAGAGAACATTTTGAATAGAGATGCCAGTTTAATCATCAAAGGGAAGTTTGCATATCAAATGGAGGGCAGAACTCTCAGGAAGAGACTGGGGTTTAATTGCCCATTTGTGAATCGTGAAATCCCCTTGCAGGGTTGAAGAAAGGCCAGGGGAAGTACATCCGCCGTGAAGCCTTATGCAGAGTAGACATGCCGTAAATATCTTCTAAATGATAAATAAGATTAAGGATGTAAACTCGCCACCTGGCAGATGCCTCAGCAGTAAGAGTATTCTTCTGTCACTTATGGAGGCTTTACTGTTTGCAGAGGCATTCATTAATGCTGCCTCTTTTTCTTCAGCACTAACCAGCACAAGACAGAAAATTTCACCATGATTAGGAAGGAGTCCTGGGAAGGTGAAGGGACCCTCTGTAGGTCACACGGCTAGTTAGTGCTGTGACTGGGACATGAACTCAGGTCTGCAGAATGAGAACCTGGGATGTTCCTTCTCTGCTCTGAAAGTGCAACTGCCATACGGCAATAATCTAATTCTCAAAGTGCCGTCTTAGATGATTGCTTCAGAATTGCCTGGTAAGAGGTAAAATGCAAATTTGAGACCCCCACCCAATCAACCCCTCGGGAAATAGGATCCCAGGAATCTGCGTGTTTAACAACGGCACTGGAGAGAATTCTTACCACAGATTTTGAGAACCACTGCAGCAAAGAACACCTAACGTAGGCTGAGATAATTAGTAAAAGTTTTAGAAGTCTAAATTTATTCCCAGGATAAATCTTAAAAACAAAGGAAAACCTGTATAAAACTGCAACGTCAAACTTGGGGTCAGGTCTAAAGGTCATTTTCAGTGTCCTTGGTCAGAGACTGAGTCCTCTATTATGCAATTTTTAACTGCAAATTTTCTGATTTTAGGGGCACTTGATTACTTACGAGTTTAGAAAATGCTGTCTATAGGTCTCAATAAACTTCTCAGATGCAAAAGAATATAGACTTAATTTTTGGTGTTCAAAGCAAATGGTAGCAATCGCTACACCTTTCTTTTCCTCTTAGCCTGGTAGCATTTGCTGTAACTACAGGTCCATTAATTTCAAAATTTAATGAGTAAGTGTATACCTATGAATCAAATGCAACAAACAGCATTGTTGGGGCAAACCATTTACTGAAGTCTCAGAATGTTCAAGCAGATAGTGTAGTAACCATGTATTAATTCTCCATTTTATATTTAAACCGTTGCTGATGTTCAAAACAAATAGTTAAAAACTATACAACTTTATGTTTCTGGAAAGAGTCATAATTTAGATGTTGATTGGTTGTAAACAGTATCTGGTTAATCTCTACTCCAGTCTAGGAAAGTTGAAATTCAGAAGACACTGGTTTTTAGATCCTAGTACAGTTGATGATGGTGATTAATAACTTGTAGTATTGATGGTTTAGCTCAAAATTATTTGTGATAATTTGAAGTTGCTTTTAGGTTGAAAGTCTTTTGACAAAAACTTATAGTTCAAGGAGTCCAAATCTGCTTCTGACCTCAGCAATTCAATTAAGCATGTTTTCCTTTGTATCTGAAAATGTATTTTTTAGGACTAATAAATAGACAACTGTTTCCTGATTTTTCAGTCATAGCCAAGTGTCCCTCTTAGTCCAAATTCCTTGTTAAAGAAGTTGGATGCCATCTCTACCTTCTGTGAATTCTCAGAGTCTATAATCTTTCTTTCATTTATGACACTTACCTGTGGTAGTATTGTTGATAGAACACATGCCCTTTCCTGCACAGGGTCTTAAGTGAAATAGATATTGTAGCAGTAAGCCTGCACTGTGTCCTCAAAGGATTCATGTCTCCACGTATCTGTGCCCTTCCCATGCTGATGCAGAGCTGGCACTGTGTAACCAACAGAATGTGCCAAATGTGGTGATGCGTGACTTCCAAAGTGAGGTCATAAAAGGCACTGGAGCTTCTTCCTTGTTCTCTTGGATCTCTCACTCTGGAGAACACCAGCTGCCATGTCATGATGACACTCAGACCACCCTTTGATGATGCCCATGTGGAGAGGAGCTGAGACCCCTGAATACAAGCCAACACCAAGCTGCCAGGCTTGTGATCAAATCATCTTGGGAGTAAATAACCTAGACCTAGTCAGCATCTGACTGCAGCACAGCAGAACCCCAGCTGAAATCGCCCAGTCAGGCAGCTCCAATTTCCTTTTCCACAGAAACCAGGCAGCAATAGCTGCTTGATCACAGAGCCCTGAACATCTGTTTAATAGATAGGATTTTATAGCTAATACATGATAATCAGTGCTCTAAGCCAATACATTTTGTGATTATTTGTTTCTCAACAATAGATAACAAATATAGAATTTCATGACCAAAGGCAAGAGTATGACATGAAAGGTTCAAAGCACTGGATACATGCCAAACTCTGTGATGATCATGAATCTATATCTCATTCAGTTGGTTATGTGAAGAGAGAAATTCGTTTTTAACTAGATACTACAAGAATAGACTATGGTGATGAGATAGAAGAAAGCAACTTACTGTGGTAAATTCTCAAAAGGTGGAATCCTGGTTGCCTTCAGTGATTAGTCAGAAGGTTTGATGTCCTAGTAATGATAAAGTATGTTAGTTGTAGAAAAAGTAAATTTTGAAGGTTTAAAAAGACCTTTGAGGAATCCCTTCTAGAATAGTGGAGTAAGGACCTCCAAAAATCTCTCTCCACAAAAGAAGTACTTAGTTAAAAAAAGCAGCTGAATATTAGGAAGAAAAGCAAGCTTTGTGACATCTTATGGTGTCATTTTATGATGATAGAGGTGTCAGTTAATTAGAAAGACAAGATAATTACAAATACGGACCTAACAACAGAACCCCAATCTGCATGAAGCAAAAACTGACAGAATTGAAGGCAGAAATAGACAATTGAAAACAGAGGTTGGAGACTTCAGTGCCTCACTGTCAATAATGGGTAGGATAAACTTGAAAAATGCTACAAACCAAATACACCTAACAAGCATCTATTCAACACTCCAACCAACCATAGAATATGCATGCTTCTCCCAAGTATATGTGGTACACTCATCATGAGAGGCCATATAGTAGACCGTAAAGACAAGTCTTGATAAATTTAAAAGGATCAAAATCATACAAAGTTTGTTCTCCAATCACAAGAGCAGAAACTTATAAATCAATAGCAGAAAGATATTTGGGGAATTGACAAAACTTCAAAATTAAACAACACATAGTCCTAAGTAGTCAGTGGGTCAAAGAAGAATCATTAGTCAATTTAGAAAACATTGTCATTTTAATATATCTGAATGTATACAAAAACATATGGGATGTCATGAAAGCAGCTGTGTAGAGGGAAATTTCTAGCTACCAATGCTTAGAGTACCACATGCCCCAGCAATTCCACTCCAAGGTGTATACCCAAAAGAGCTGAAAGCATCCATCCATCCAAAGTCTTGTACACAAATGTTTATAGCAGCATTATTCATAATAGCCCAAAATTGCAAACAACTCAAAAGCCCATAAACTGTTCAATGGATAAAAAAATGTGATTTACACTAGAAAGGGATATTATTTGATCACATGAAGGAATAAAGTGCTGCTACATGCTATAACGTGCGTAAACTTTGAAAACGTGATGTTAAGCGAACATACTCAATCAAAATGACACATAATATATGATCCTATTTACATGAAATGTCTAGGATAGGAAAATCCATGGAGATAGAAAATAGATTAGTGGTTTTCAGGGCTGGAGGTAGGGAGGAATTGGGAGTGACTGATACTCTAATTGATAGGTCTTTGGGGGCTCATGAAATGTTTTAAAATTAAATATCAGTGGTGGTTGCAAAACTCTGAATGTACTGAAAACTACTCAATTTTATACTTCAAAAGGGTGAATATAATAGTTTTTGAGTTATATCTCAATGAAGCTGTTTTTTTAAAAAAAAACTTTCAAATTCTTAAATAGCATGTCATTAAAACGATTAGTAATTTGGGTTTAGTGTAGCAATTTGAATTGAGGAACCAGAACAAAGCTATGAAATCACTGCTCTGGTGTGTACAATGAGCAAAACGTTTAACTGAACAATTTCAAAGAGACAGCTAACTGTCCTGTCAACTGGGGCAACATAGTAGCAGGGGGAATGCTGCCGCGGACCAAGAACGAGGAGAATCCAGCTAGAATCCTCGTTCACGTTCTGACTGCAGGTACACGCGTGCTGTTTGACAAATCACGTCTTAGTTCTGGAGTAAAATATGGGGGTTGTATTAGAGCAGTGGTGGGGCAGTCTAGTCCAGATTATCATCTTCAGGAGTTGTAGAAGGTGGCACACTGTGCGGGAAATATGAGACGACAGGAAAGCAGAAGGACCCCAACCTGAGCAGTTCAGGTTTTATTGATTCTGTGTGTTTTAGATATTGTTCAATGTGTGGCTTTAAAAAGAAAGTATAAAACTCCCCAGACTAGGTGATTTCTGAACTGTTTTTCAGCTGTATTACTCTAAGATCTTCTAAGGACTTTCTATTTAAATACATATCTCTGTGTCTTTTAAATATTTCCCTTGAGACCCCTGCATTCCTCCCCAACAAAATTGCAGCATCCCTGAAACGTAAGCTATAAAGTATCTGAAGTACCACAAACTTTGACTGCATACCATGTTAATTACTTTGTGTGTTGCTGTGTCACTAACATCTCATTTGATACCATGTCAAAGTTGTGAATCACACAAACCATTCAAAAGGCATTTTGCAGGTACTTGAGTGGCAATTCAGACCTAGAGATATACATGTTTTCTGACAAGTTGGAGATATAATTCCTCCGATAATAAAATAGAACATGTATTTATTTCTATAGTGTACTTAATAGCCTCTCATGTTCCTGTGTGGTTGATCTTTGAATTTTCCAGTATATTTGAATAAAGGTACATATTTTGAGCAAATTCTCCAAGCATAATAGCAGTGTTCTGTGTTCATTGCTTTGGTATCTTTTTTTTTTTTCAGAATAGAAATTAGAATCTATAGTCACAGAATGTGGCCTAATATCTCTGTGACGCTGCTTTATACTGACTTTAAGGACTATAGCCTTTGAGTTCACCACCTCCTAAGATTTTCCTTAAAGGTAATAGATTGTCCTCATGTTGTGAAAGAGAATTTAGTCATTTTGAGATGTCAAACTTGAAGAGAAACAAAGAGAAACCAGGGAAATAGTATATTGTGAGGTTCCTCGTTTTATCTTTTCCTAGATTTTAAGTTTATAAGGGTCCATAATTTCATGCAGAAAGTATATTTTGAAAACCTCAAACTTAATAAACCTGAAGGATTCAAGATTCATTTCCCTATGAGAATACATATAAAGGATGAGAGATGTGAATCTTTACTTTCATGTTGCTTTTTGTCTTCTCAGCATTAATTTTTTTTCCTTAGGATTCTTTTCCTAAATGAGCAGTGTGGCGTGTCATACTGGTTGTTTGTCTTTCTTCATGGTATTTTTAGCAACTCCTTTCATTTCCAGAGTCATTATTTTCAGAAGTTTTCTATTTTTGTTTTTGATTTTTAATGGTATTAGAACCACTACTGAAAGCATGTTTAGGTAACCAGTTGCAGGATACTTCATTTTCAAAAAAAAACTGTATCTCCAATTTAAAAAAAAACACACATATTTCTGTCACCCAATACATTTTCAAAGTGATTTTTGAATGTTATAAAAATAGTACAATGGTAACCAAAATCTTTTGTAAAAATTCCATTCCAAGTAAACAGTGATGTGGACCAGCAGCTTGGGAGAAATGCGCAATCCAAGGCCCCACTCCAGATATGCAGAATCAAAATCTGAAGTTTAACCAGATAGTGCTTGGTAAACACATTTCACTTTGAGAAGCACTGCTTTGCATGGAACTGAGAAATGGTGGCTGGTATTATAATTTGAAAGCCAAATTATTGCTGTTGATGGTAATAGAGAAAATAATGTAAATATAAAAATAGTTGACAGATCATTTAGTCTCCTTTTTAATCTTGGTAAATTTTGTAAATTGAGGGAACTGACATTATTTCAAGTGTTTTTTTTATAATGGCAGACACTGTCACCATTTTGATTCCATACTCAGTAAAATTTACATAATTCATATTTGCACTACCCCCCCCAATACTCTATTCCGAAACTATCGCTCTAAACCCTGACCAGTGTGTTTGTACATTTAGACAGTGCTCCTTCTGGGATACCCAGGCCACATAAAATAGCAAAGAGTTCATTAGAACAGTGTCACCAGCATAGCAGTAATGAAGGCTGTATCAGCGATTTAGGGGTTTATAACTCTGCTGTAAAGTTGTACTCTGGAATGAGACTCAGCACAAAAGCTCCACCTGGGAGTCGATTGTTTGCCCGATCTGGGAGGAATGTGTGGGAAAATTGATTTGGTTGTTTATGATTCGCTGTGCTTCTCGTCTGATTCTCAGTGGCATTTGAATTAAGATGTTTTATGGACTGGTGATCATCGTGAACTGGTATTTTCAGGGATGTCTTCATAAACCTTACTCAAACTGCAAGTATTACAGTAACTCACCTGGTACTACTGTTTATATTACATAAAAGGGGACAAATATGCATAGGAATGCAATTAAAAGGGGAAAAGAGTAATTCTAATTAGGCAGAAACGGGAGCATATTTCATTGAAGTAGGACACCATGAATTCTTTGGTTGCCTGTATTTTTCTGCCAAGGAGCCACCAAGGCATGCTCCTGTGAACTGCTCTGGGACATTTAATTGGTAAATCAACATTAATGCTTAGAAAAGTTTAGATCCATCTCTTTTAGAAAACTGCTGTTCACTTTTGACTTTCCTTAGACGTAGCTACAAAACTAGCAGCTAAAGGGAAAACCTCCCTAAATAGAAAAGATGCTCCTTTATTATCACTTTGCTCTTTTGAAGGGAGAAACTTGCCACCCTGAGACTTCTGGCTGTAGTAATCAACTCCTATTATAGTCAACTTGTGATTAGATGCATCATCATCTTGGGTCCAAGTTTAAATGTGGTTTTAGGCAGTTATCTAAAATGCAGTCCCAATCTGAATAATTAGAAACTCATGATTTTCAACCAGGGTCTTAATATTAATGGTGTGTGTAACAGTTACAGGCTGGAACTCTTGGGGAAGACAGAACTGGGTTCAAGCACTTTTCCTGCTCCCTTTACTATCTGTCTGGGCTTTGGGCAAATAACTTAAAGCCTTTAAACTTCTGTTTCTGTTTCTATAATGTGATGGTGATAATAGTAGCTGCTTGGGAGAATTGTTATTAAATTAAAAAAAAACTCTGCAAATCAGAGTGCCTGGTACATGGTGCCTATTATTATGTTACCTAGCAGCCTAAGTAAAACGACTTTTCAATTTTATTAATTTTTTCATTTACTCACTCAAACACCACATACGTATCAGTTGTTCCCATTGTGCCAGACACTCTGATGAGATGCTGGTACAATGGTGACGAGGGTAGGCAGAGTCCCTTTCTCATTTACCTAATAATCTGGTGGAAAGAAGCCATCAGAGAAATTATCATGAATTATGATAGGCATTAGAAAGCAAGCAAGCAAGGGGTTAAGGTGGAAATCAACAAGGGGAGAGGGGCATGGTAATTCAGAATGTTCAGAGAAGGCTTCCAGGAGGCAGTATCTATAAAGCTGATAACTGAGGGACAAAGGGTGTTTGAAACAACAGCTCAGGAAAAAGCACTCCTGCTGAAAGATCAGCAGGTGTGTGTGCCCTGAGGTGGAAAGAGCTTGGTGCGCCCAGGGATCTGAAAGGAGATGAGTTGGCCTACCACAGGGAAGGTGAGGTAGAATGAGGAGGGTAGCCTGAAGAAGGAAACTAGGACAAGACAGCCCAGGGCTTGGTTACCCATGTAAGAAGTTTAGAAACACTGATTCAGAAAGATCCAGGCACCCCAGTGTTCACAGCAGCATTATTTACCAATTGCCAAGATGTGGAAACAGCCTGAGTGTCCATCAGCGGATGAATGGATAAAGAAGATGTGGGTGTGTGTGTGTGTATATATATATATATATACACACACACTATACACACACACACACATACACACAATGGAATACTCAGCCATAAAAAAGGATAAAGTTTTGCCACTTGCAAGAACATGGGTGGACTTGAAGGGTATTACACTAAGTGAACTAAGTCAGACAGAAGAATACAAACACTGATATCATATGATATGATACCATTTATAAGTGGAATCTAAAAAATACAACAAACTAATGAATGTAACAAAAAAGATAGACTCAGAGAGAATTAACTATTGTTTACCAGTGGAGAGAGGGGAGAGGGAAGGAGGAGAGGGGCACTTAACTTGTTTTGGGATTCACCGCATCATTCATAATTTCATTAGGTCATAACTTACTTATGGGAAAACTATATTCTACATCTCTCCACCTCCCCTGCACAAAAACACCACTTTGGGTATTTTTAAAATTTAAAATTCAAGGACATGTACTAGATTAGCGTATTTCTCTTAGTTTTCTCCTTCCTAGGTTGAAAATATTTTTAGGCATGATACAACACTGTACTACTAAACGCCCTTCAGAACTTTTAGCACTTAAGCATCACTAAGTGAGTGAGAGTCTTATTAGGATTTTTTGGCTTGCATCATGTTTTCCCTATTTATTTTATTCATCTTTCCTTTCTGCTCATTTTACTTTGGCCTGTATTTTCAGAGAAATTAAAGTTGTAGAAACCAAACTGAGGGTTTTCTTTCTCTGCTCTCTGTGTGTTGCTGGATTTTTAAATATTAATCTAGTAACAAGCACGTATCTAGTGCTTTATTCAAGGTATTTCTTATTTGCAGCTCTGCCCCTGGAGAACACTGAAAATGTTTCCTCTTTAAAGTTTCCAGAGGAACATCAGCTAATCTGTCTGTTCTTGATATACCTCTACAATGCTAGGGTTTTTCGTTTATTAGTTATCAGATAAATGAGTTGCATGATGTACCGCTGTGAAGTAGAAAATAGCTTCTCTGGAATTGAGTTTGAAGTCAAATAAGGCAACTTTGCTTAGATACATGCTTTTGAAATTTAGGAGAACAGGGTCCTACGTGTTCATCTACCTCACCCATTCGTTAGTGTGTTTATGTGAACGCAAATAAATCATCAACCATTATGTAGTACTAGTCAACTAGTATACATCAAATTTTGATGCTTGTGTAAGATCTGCTCCTGCTTGTAAATTAGGATATAGAGTATTATAATTAGAGCTGAGACTCAGTACGGAGCTGGCACATTGTAAGCAGAAATGGCAGAGGACGTTGTAGCAAATAAAAGATGAAGGATGCTGAACCAGAAGGTATAGGCAAGTTTTGTTTGGCCAGCTCATACTGTCCTAACAGTTGAAATTAAGATGATTTAAGACAGAAACTAGGATTTACAGTCTCCCTAGAAAAATCAGTTGGTTGGCAAAAATGAGCACTCCTTCTTGCTTGGCCAAAATGAGCAGGAGCTGTGTGTTGTCTGCCCCTTCTAGAGGTGTCACCTACCCCCTGGTTTGCCGTAATCCCTGTCACTCCTCATTTCTCTTAGCGTATGACATGCTTTAAGTATTTACAATACTTAGCTGGACCATGTAGCCTTTTTTTTTTAAATTGAGTATAGTCAGTTTCCAATATGTCAACTTCTGGTGTACAGCATAATGTTTCAGTCATACATATACATACACATATTCATTTTCATATTCTTTTTCATTATAGGTTAGTACAAGATATAGAATATAGTTCCCTGTGCTAAATAGAAGAAACTTGTGTATCTATTTTATATATACTAGTTAATACTTGCCAATCTTGAACTCCCAGTTTATCCTTTACCACCCTCTTCCCCCCTGGTAACCATAAAATTGTTTACTATGTCTGTGAGTCTGTTTTGTAGATAAGTTCATTAGTGTCTTCTTTTTTGTTTAGATTCCACATATGAGTGATATCATCTGGTATTTTTCATTCTTTTTCTGGCTTACTTCCCACCCCTGCAGTCTTTTAGGTGTCTGACCAGCAGAACAGTAACATCACCTATATGGTAGACAGCTTCTAAATGACCTGACAGTGCCCTGCTCCTAGCTGTACTCCCTTGTATAATCCTCCCGCCTCGTATACAGGCTGGAACTAGGGACCATCTCTTCTGACATTAGTTAATAAGAGGCTGTGACTTGCACCTTGTTGGCCCTCTGTCTTGCCTTCCCAGCTTGCTTGCAAGCTGCCATGTTGGGGGAGTACACAGAGTAGGAACCAAGGGTGACCTCTAGCCAAAGCCAGCCAAGAACTTAGGCCCTCAGTCTAGCAACCCACAAGGAATAGAATTCTGCTAGCAACCACATGAGTGAGCAGAAAAGCAGATCCTTCCCTGGGTGAGCCTTGAGATGAAACCACAGCCCTGGCTGACACCTTGAGTGCAGCTTGTGGGAGATCCAGAGGCAGAGGACCCAGACTGCTGACCCACAGAAACTCTATTGTTTTAAGCTGCTAAATTTCAGAGTAATTTGTTATGCAGTGATAGATAAATCATATACCTTATTACTTCAAAGAAAGATGGTGCATTGACTAGCACATACAAAAAAACTTGCCTTGGGATTACATAAATCAAGGCTGTCAACTTTTCTATTCCCGTGACCATAGTTTCAGTATGATGACTGATGTTGGAGGTCCTCAGTAACTGAAATGAATGGAGGGTGACCAAGGGGGAGTTAACTGTCGGGAGAGATTGTTACACTAAAATGCTTATGGATATTACTTTTTTCAGTGTTCGAGTTTGTCTGTTTAAGTCCGTTTCAGATGTGCTTCCAAATAGTCTGATGATCAAAAGTGTGTCTCAGACACAAAAAATGCCGGAAGCTGCTGATGACCATGCCAAGTCCCCAGGATACCAGACTCCCAGACATCGCGTAGACACTTGGCATGGGCTCCTCTTAGTAAGTGCTGGGAGAACAGTGGAGGTTGCAACTCCTAGAATCTGTAAAGTAGGGCGAAATCTGAGAAAGAAGCAGAGCAGGGCTGAAACTCAGCCTGCAAAGATCCGGATGTGATTCTTACTGATATAACCTCAGTGGATTACTCAGTATCACTTTCTCAGCTGGAAAATATGGTACTGTTCATTTTTGTATTTACCAGGCTTTGTAAAAGCCCCTGTGTTGTACCAGTTACTGTGCTCAGTTTGGAGATTAAGTGAATAAGATAGTGCCATGCATGTTTTCAGCTTCTAAAGTTGTAGTATTTGAGTAAAGGCTACATACAAGGCAGTAGTATCTTATTCAAAACTACTTTGACGGCTAAATATATTTGAATATCGAAATGGGAGAAATTATTAGTGATAGGTTGTTGCTTCAGCTCATGTCTCTGCTATTACTTAATTTCTCTGTTCCAAATGAAATACTGAATTTTTCAGATTGACCTGAGCATCCTTTTAAAGTGCATTGCTATTCATATACACAGATTTTAATGTCTTGTAGCCATCAAACTGTTTTCTTTGTATAAACATTGCATTCCTATAAACCTTATGAAAAGTATATTGCTTTATGCATTATATCCACTTATTAGTAATTTTGACCGAGTTTTTTGTTCATTAATAACGTCATGTTTTATGAATGTTGTTTATTTTAGAGGCATGTGTGCATGTGTGTGGTGGTGATAAATATGGGTTGAATTTAGTCGAAAATAAAAAGAAATATGATTTGTGTGTAACTTCAGGCAGTTCACAGATACACTGTTAAAAACATAAATGATCAAAATCATGATTCTGTGTTGTCAGGTGGTTCCACAATCCCTCCCACATAATTATCCTCTCGTAATATCCTTGCAATATTATACATTTGACCTGAGGGGTGCGAATGTAGTTTTATCATCAATCAGTAGCGTCACCTGGCCCTTGCTTCAGGTGAAAATAATGGTTTGAGAGGGCTTTTATTTTTCAAAAAATCCGTTGACTAATTGTGCCCAACTTCACCTTTTAAAGTTTTCCGGGGACCACTCATTGTCTGTTAAGTATGCGGCGTAGATCAAAGGTTAACGATTCTTAATTGGACTTCATTAAGTGATAATATAAGATCTCGAGCTCCTCATTATGCCCAGGATTGGACAGCCATGTCATAACACCAGGAAATAATGAACTAGAAGGCATGCATTATCATGCATTAGAAGACTCCAGCAACTTACTATGTTTCAGATGTATTGTCTCAAGTGAGGTATAAAGTGAGGTGCATATTAATAGCTCAGTCAAGTTCCCATTTGGAGAAGGAACTATGTTTTGGGCATAATAAAGACTTTCTGATTTGAACTGCTATGATTTGGAGGACACTCTTTGATACTTTTTATCTTTATTACTATTTGTTTTCTGCCCTCAACCTTGAAAGACAAGGTTACTTGCTCGTTTCAGAGCTTGTACAGTCCACTTGCAACAGCTTTTTGGTCATGGATCACATTTGAATTTAAGGACTGTCCATTTCTTCATTTCCTGTGTGGTGATTTCAAACCTGCTTTGGTAACATAAGGGATTAAGATAGCATATTTGCTACTAAGCACATTCTATTTAGATCAGAGTCAATTCTATAGTTCTGTCTTTGCTCTGAGAATGGGAGTTCATGCATACAGAACAGTCGTTAACCATCATTAACATGTCAGGGAAAATGGATGCACAAATGTGCAGCGTAGTGCCATGTGCTTCAGAGATAACCACAATGAGGGATAATGAGCCAACCTTGGCTTTCTGTAATGCAAAGCTAATATACTCAGAAAGATACTGCCCTTCATCACAGTTTAAGGTAATTGCTCCTAATCCGTAACCTGAACAATAAATGCAAACATCTTATCCAAACAGTAACATTAAGCTGCTTTTCTCCAGGATGTCACTATGACATTTTGCATTCATATGCCTCAGAAAGGAAATGGACAGAGAAAGTGGACATGTACCGTAGTCTCCCTGAACTTTTCTATGCATTTCTGTGAATAAGGAATCGAATGACTGAGTTGACACTAACATTTATAACTCAGATGATTGACAGAGGATGGCTATGGCGGTGAAATAGATACATAACAGCAATCTCATCCTAAATCCTACACGAAAGCAAATATCAGATTTGATGAGCTTTGGAGGGCTGGAGGCTGAGAAAATCATTACAGTTCGTATTTTGGAAATACCATGGCTAGAAGGGATACTAACATA